CCATGTAGTTTGGCAATCCATGTACCTCTTCACAACTCTGTCAGTCTGTTACATAGTTATGCCTCCCAAATATTTCAAACAATGAATTTCCTCAAGTGGTTGGAGCATTGGAATTCATACTGCATATTTCCACTGATATGGAACAAATGGCTCTATTTTACATAATTATAACTTCACTAGTGTGAATTTGAATACTTGCAGCCATTTCAGGGGAATCCATTATTTGCACTAATTGGGACCTTGTGGTCTCTATCTCTTGTTCTTATTACAAGACCAGGACACCTTTTCAGGTCAACTGTGTTAGGAATGGCATTTCATATAGTGAAAGACACTGTCATCAACTTTTAATGTCCTGTGCAATCTTCCTCTTTTCCCTTCCCCTTCCAGTCCCCTTCCACTATACACTGCTGTGTTGTGAGGAATCCAGAAATAGCCCTTTCCTGAAGGGGCAATTATAACCAATGTCCTAACCAAGTATTTCAGTTTCCTAGAAACTCAAATTTTTCCAATAACAACAACTCACATTTACGTAGCAATTTAAGGTTTGGAGAGTGCTTGCCTTTGCCCGCCCCCCATTAGGATGCATCCCTCCTCATCCCTACCTGTTGGAATCCTTCAAAGCTCAGTTCAAGTGGCCCCTCCCATTAATCTCTTCTGATTCCCTCTGCTGTTTGTGCCACCTTCCCCCAAATCACCCTGAATTATTTGTATGTACTTGTAAGTATATATATATATATATATCGTTTCTTCCAATAGCATGTAAGCTTCCTGAGAGCAGAGACTGTTCTATTTTGCAGTGTGTGTGTGTGTGTGTGTGTGTGTGTGTGTGTGTGTCCGCGTGCGCGTGCGTAGGGGGCTAGCAATGAACTATCCATCCTTGATAAATGTTTGCTGATGGATTCTGGCAACAATCTTTTGAGGCTAGTATCATTCCCCATTTTACAGATGACAAAACTGAGGTTTGTGACATTTCCACCCTTCATAAGTATCTAAAGCAAAATTGAAGCCCAGAAAATTCAGCACTCTCTCCTGTCTGGCACACAGGAAGTGCCTAATAAATGCTCTCACTGATTTTGTCTGTCCCTGTCTCTCGGTGTCTGTCTCTCTGTCTCTGTCTCCCCCTCTTCGCCCGCTGCCCCCCCCACCTTCATTCATCTGTCTACTGGACCACTCAGCCATGGGTGGCCACACCCATATTCTTGGTCTCCAGGGAAGATTAACCCAATCTAAAAACAGCTCTGGGAGCCCCGGAATAACCAGAGGTGTTAAATCACCCCGTCAGGCCCCGTGGTGACTGGCAGCGAGGAGCTGCATTTGTGGAATGAGAACCACAGCGCAAGCAGCTGGGCTGTGAGTGCTCAGAGAGATTCGGCAAAGGTCCCTCGCTACCCCCACCCTCCCAGCGGACTGTTTTCCATATTTATATGTTTACATTCCAGCTCGTAATTAAGCAATCAGCTATTTTGAGGTAATTATTCCCGGTCTCGGCTGGCTAAAGTCACTTGATCTTTGGCTCGGTGCCTTGTAGTCAGAATAGCGGCCCAAAGAGCGCGCTCTAATCGCCCAGAACCCTCTCCTCTCCCCCGCTGCCTTGCACATCTTAATGTCTCATTAAGGAACTGCTTCCAAGCATGTCCTGTCCCCCCTCCCCCAGAGAACCCCAGCCGAGGCCTCAGCTGTTATCCCCAGCGAAGGCGAGGCCGTCGACATCCACCTGCCAGCCCTACCTCCTCCTGGGCCCGGAGAACTGCCTGGTGGACGCATCTGGGGAATGAATGGGGCGGGAGGATCCGCCAGTGCTGTGAATGGGAGGGAGATCACGGGTGCCTTAATCTTCGTCCACATCTGCTTGTCCCCAGGCCCTCCTTTAGGGGATGGGGAGTGGGAGGCGGCGCCGCACAGAGCTGAGCAGTATCAATGAATACACCGTGGGGGAAATGGTTTGGGGGAAATGGTTTAGTCCAAAGGGGTTGTTGACCTAATGGGACGAATCAGTTAGGTAACTGTAAATTGGGCTCGGGGAAAGGCTTCTTCACGGTGCTCTCTCGCTGCTGCCTGAGACATTTTAAACAACACCAGACAAAACTTTGGAAAATATATAGTACCCGGCCAGCTATGGCACCTATGCCCCTGGGAGTAAACTTAATCAGACTCTTCCACCCCTGACATTTATGTTGCCCTGCAAATGGCTTGCAAGGGCGCAGCCTGGGGTGGCTCACTTGCTTGCTAAACAGCTTCAGCTTTGGGGCCGGTTGTTGCTGTTTTACTAAAGGTATAGAGTACGATAATTTCACATCTAGAGGGTCTTTCTCCCCCTCTCTGCTTTTCTCTCCTTCTTCCCTTTCTCACCTTCCCCCTATTTCTCTTTCCCCCTCTTCCCTCTGTCCTTTCTTCCATCTCCTCCCTCTCTCCCAGCTTCCCCCTTTCCTTTCCCTTTGCTCTCATCCTCTTCCCCCTTTCCCACATCTCCTCCATCTTCCCCTCCTCTCCTCACCATCTTTCCTGCTTCTTCCCCTTACATTTTTTCCTCTCTCTCCCCTCTCCCTTCCCCTGTCCTCTCCTCCCTCTCCCCTTTCCTTCCTTTCTTCTCTCTTTTTCCCTTTTGCCTTCTTCCTTTTCCTTCCTCCTCTCCCATTTCCCTCCTCCATCTCTTGCTCCTCACTCTCTCCTTTTTCATTTCAATACCTCCCATGTTTCCCAAGACTGAATTTCTCAATCTTCCTTTCTCTCCATAGTCTTCTGGAGCAATCTTTTGATTGCTTGGTATCTCTATTTCTTTCTCTTTTTCTCTCTCTCTCCTTTCTTCTTGCTTCTATCTTTTCTTCTCTTTCCCTATCCTTCCTCTTACTCTTATATTTCCCAGTCTTCATCTCTCATCCTAAATCTGTCTCTCTCTAACTGTATTTATGACTATTTCTCTGTGTGTCTTCTTCTGTCTCTGTCTCTGTACCATTGCAATGCATGATTCGGTATTATCTTTTGTGAGGTGGTATAATGTTTAGTTATGTAGTTTTCAATCACATATGGAAAATATCCTGGTTTAGTGGACAGAGTGGAGTGGTTTAGTGGACATTTGGAGTCAGAAAGATGACTTCTAATTCTACATCTGAAACATCTGACTGTGTCAGTGGGCAAAGTCATTTATCCTTTCAATGCCTCAGACAATGATCTAATAAGTATTTATTGTCTGGAAACAAACAGTAAGCTCCGCTTGTTGTTTATTGTAATGCCTGGCACTATTATAAGTGCTGAGGATGTAATGAAAGGCAAAAGACAGCCCTGCCCTCCAGGAGCTTGCAGTTTATCGAGGAAGACAACATGAAAACAAATATGCACAAACAAGCTACATACAGGTTAAACAGGAAAAAATCATCTGAGGGCAGACATTAACTGACCACCTTAGAATTTAAGAAGCTTCCAGTTCTAACTCACTCATTCTCCCTGTACCATAGTTGCCTCTCCTGAAAAGGAGAATGGTCAGATTGAGCCCTCAAGCTCTTTCCCAGGCTGCCCCAATCTTTGAGGCAGTCTGGGCCTTGGTCTTGCCATGAGAAAGGCTGTTGATGATAATGTCTCCTGAGTTGTCTTGTCACTGTGAGTTGCTGAGGTTTTATGAAGCTTCTCTCTGGTATTGACTCCATAGCTGCTGTAACTTGATGAGCTTTCCTGCTGGGATTTCTGACCCCTTCTCAGCAATAAGCCTGAATACCTACATATTTCCACACAAAGAGGCAAAGATAGAAAGTATGCATATAGGAACTTTGAGATCCTGCAGTGAATGGATTCCTAGATGAGGTTGAAACAGAAGCTAAAACAGGCCAGTAAAAACGTCCTTAATTCAGACTTGGGTCAGGGAGGAGAGGGCTTTGTGAATTCCTGAAACATAAGAATTATAGAGAATTTTAAGTAAAATGAGGTTTTAGTTTTTTAAACAAATTGAAGTAGATGTAGCAAAGTAAATCAGTCATCATGAGGGGGCCCATTTCAAAATAAATTATTGATCGTTTTTGCTTTGTCTTTTGTTCTTTCCATTTATATTACTGTAGTCATTATGTATATTGTTTTGCAGGTTCTGCCAGTTTGCTCTACATTAGTTCCTCTGTTTTTTTCCCCATGCATCTCTGAATTCTTCATGTTTATCCTTTCTTAGGACACAGTGACATTCTGTTACATTCACATACCATAGCTCGTCAAGTCATTCCCCAATCAAAGGCCATCTGGCCTGTTTCTAGTTCTGCTAGAAAGTGCTGCTACAAATATTTTGATATACAAGAGACCCTTCTTTCTGTCTTTAATCTCTTTGGGGTTTAGGCCTAGCGGTGGTATTCCTAGGTCAAAGGATATGAATATTTTCGCACTTTTTTTAAAAGCATTATTTCAAATTGCTTTCCAGAATGGTTGGATCAATAGGGGGCTCACTTCAATGACTAGATAAGAATTATCTGTAATCCACTTATAAATTATTGGTATGCAAATGGACTCTTTAAAAAGAACCACACTCCAGGGTATTTAAAAGTGATTTATTCTCTGAAACATTATTTTAAGCATCTTCCCCTGCAATCACAAATTCTGAGGTATAGTAGTGGAGTCTGAACTATTTACTGTATTGTGTTCCCATCTCCATCATTCCCATTTCCCCCAGAGTGGGACCTATGGGAAATGCTAATCTAGGGAATAGCTAGAATCAACATTAGTCTGTATGAATCTTCCCTTTAGTGTCCTCTCTTCACATTTCTGTTATCAACAACATTAGTTGAATGCTGCTAGCACATAATGCAAAATGATCCTGTAAAGAAAGATCTTATGACAGTGCCCATTCCTCATAAAAGCCGATTCAGATGTCCCATGGGGCTATTGGCTCAGGGACTCAGACACTTGAACCTAAATTAACATAGCAGATGTATTCGTGGAATGTAGGAAGGAGGGATTACATGTCCAGGTGTTCTTTACTTTCCAGTAGCTTTTACAGCTCTTTTCTTCTCTCCTATTCTGATTCATAGGCTGCCTCTCACAAGACCACATCAGCTGATGACAAAGCAGCCATTCAAGAAAAAGAAACAACAAGCAAAAAGGAGGGAAAAAAGGGAAGCAGCTCATGGTACGTAAAGGTATGACTGGCAATTTTGTGAAAGAGCCAGAGAGGTTAGACCTTCATGGAGGACTATGTTTCCTGAAGCATTGGGAAAGAGGGTTATCCATCTCCTGTTTACTAAGATGACATGGTAAGAAATGAGTGGAAGCTAAAGGATAGGTTGTAGGCTAGACATGGGGAATGCTATCATGGCTTGGGATGGACTGTGTGATCTACCGGAGGGATTTAAAGAAAGAGTGCACTCTTATCTTTCCTAAGGTAATTTGAGTATGGTCCCCCTTGGCAGCAAAGGGAGGATGTTCTCTCAAGATCCCCCCCGATTCCTGTTGTAAGGCTGTCTAGTGTCCTCCTGAGGTCCTTCTTTTGGAAAAAGAAACTAGGACATGAGTTCCAGTGCCTATGATTCAGAGTGGCTGCAGGAAATAGAATCTGGCCCTATGCTTATCTTTGGTTACTTTGATCAGGGGAGGTTTCACAAAGGAGTTAACATTTCACTAGGTCCTTGAAACATGGCCAAGATTTGGACAACCAAAGAGGAAAGCATTGGGTTATTCCTCATGTAGGAATAAGTGTTGACCAAAGGAAAGTTCAGTACCCACTTGAGGGTCAGTAAGTCAGTAGAAGGAGAGCTTCTGTGTATGAAAAAGCACAGATAAGACTGAAATGGAAGGATGAGATTAGATTGTGTTTTGAATTGTGCATTGAATACTATGTTAATGACATTATGCCTTAATGTGCACAGTGGGTATCTAGGTAGGAGGAGAAGAAGATAGGGGCTGAGGGAGTTTTATTGGTTTCATGACTCCTAATACATCAGATAGTTCCTTCTTGAGGAAGAAGGATGTGGGATACAATTCCTCCCCTTCCTTCCCCATGGGTGGGAGCAGGAAAAGCACTCCCTTCTATAACCCTCTCAATGTGGTCCCTTGGGGACCACCTTCTGGATCAGCTCTGTAAGTCAGAGAAGGAAAGTGGTGGGGACTTAAAAACAGAGGAGACAAGGGGGAGAGAGAGGGAGAGAGAGAGAGAGAGAGAGAGAAGAGAGAGAGAGAGACAGACAGAGAGACAGACAGAGAGAGAGACAGAAAGAGACACAGAGAGAAAGAGACAGTGAGAGAGACAGAGAGAGAAAACCAAGGAAAGAGTAGACCTGACATGACTAATGTTTTGGGTTGACATCTCCCAGCAGTTTACCTACAGAGAAATTAGCCACACTACAGTAGAAATGAGGGCAAGGACCTTTCCCATCTTGATCTGAGAACAAATAACAAGTTATCCAAACACAGTCTAATTTATTGCCTGTAGATCACCCTGAACAACTCCATTCAGTTCTAGAGATAAGGTAAGACTGCTTAATATTGGGCAGACTTGGTTAGCCTACCAGGCAAATTAGATTCTCTGTAGACAAACTGTGGGACCAACATAATAATAATCATATAGAGCAGAAGTCCTTAGCATAGAGTCCACAGATGGATTTCAAAGTTTCTGGATGGGAAAATGTTACATCTTTATTTCAATAAAACTGGCTTCCTTTGTAATCCTATCTATTTTATTCTATGAATTCAAATACATTATTCTGAGAAGGGGTCTATGATACTAAGGTCAAGAACCTCTGCTATAGAGCTTTACTCAAGGTCACACAGCTTGCAAGTGGCAGAATCAGTACTAGAACTCATCTTCCCACTTCAAAGTCCATGCCTTTCTACTGTACTCCAGTTGCAGAATTCACTAGTGTAACTGATGAAGTATCACAATTAGTTATTGTATAAGAAAGAAAGAGAGAGGAGAGGAAAAAAAAGGAAAGATAAGGAAAGAAGGAAGCCTTTTCTCCATTGCAGGTTAATTAGACTCCTCTCATACGTCTATATTGTAATATAAATTTTAGGTCTCAAGAAGGATATGGGATTACTTTTAATTTCAGTGTCAATGCAATTCATAATGATTTTTTTCTTTTTGATTGCTGCAGGGCTGAACCTGAGGCTCTCACATTCAGATAAACAGGTAAAGCATTTATTAAGTCCTTAGATGCCAGGCATCGTGCTAAGTGCTGGGGATGCAAATATAAGCAAAGAAGACAGTCCTTGGGCTCAGAGAGTTTACATTCTAATGGGTAAAGACAACACTCAAAGGTGAGCTAGAAAGCAGAGTGAAGGGGCAGTCATGCTTGCGGCTGCATGATTTGGAGCTAAAGTGACTGAGAAGTAGGGTGTAAGCCTGGTGGCATGCTTAGGAGGAGGTGACCATGTTATGGGTCATATGGGCATACTACAATACACTGTTTTTCTTCCTCTGGCATGGAAAGGGTGTTTTCCTTGTCTCAAATTCAATGTTGTAACACATCATCCATAATCATACTGTTATGACATCTTCTTCCTTCCCCCTTCCTCCTCTTCTTTCCCCCTTCTCTTCTGCTCTCCCTTCCTTTCCTCTCTTTTCCTCTCCCCTCCCCTCCATTTTAATAGTAGATCAGAACTGGCCAGTAGCATCTTTTAGTTTAAAGCTTAACAGAGGTGTTATAGGTCAAATATTTAACAAAATTTCTCCCCTACCCCTCTCAATATGAATTAGGATAGATTTTTTTTAAAAGACAACAAAACCAGGACTTAATTGGGGTTGAGTAAGGCTTAAACTGTGCCTTCCTACAACCAGCTTCCTGGTGGCATATGGCTATGTTGATGAGGCTGTCTGGTCATCTAAGGGCATAAAGGGTTCTATTCTCCTGGGCCCAGTCACTAGACCCTATGCTGAATAAGTACAGAGATTTTGCTTTTTACTTTTACAGAATCTCAAAATCTAAGAGATTACTATGGAAGCATTAACTGTGTGGCAAGAATGGAGATTTTGCTTGGTGAGGTCAATATTGGATAAGTAGATAAATCAGGAGAATACTAGGGAAAGGACTGTAAGACTCAACCTGTTTCCCCAAACTTTTGGCCTTTTATGAAGGTTGCATTTATTCATAGTCTTGTCCTGAGTTTTATGGTTCAGGTCTGCTATATTCCTTCCTGAATTAGCCATTCTATACTGAATATATATTGTAAGATCAGTAACTGTCCCTTGCCTCAGATTGCCTCCCCAGATCTTGAGTCTGTGACATGGTAGGTTATCATGGTTGATGACCCCTACCAATTGTGGGACACACATATTGAACACTGGCTCCTGAGTTTACTCCTCTAGTCTCTACTTCAGCTGGTCCACTTAGTCTGGGAAGTGTTCTTGTTGCTTCTTTGAGTTGAATCTATTCTGAACAATGTATTCTTCCGGCCCTTCTACAATTTGTGATTGTGGATGAGGATTTGGAAGGCATAGTTAGGAGTTGAGTCAAACTTTTCATAAACTCTGTTGGGTAACCTCAGCCTGTAGGCCATAGAAATTTCCACCCAAATTATGGGGGAGGGACCTATTCCTCTTTCATATGCTTGTTTTGGAAAGTCTACTATCATGGAGTCTAGGGGTAGGAGAGTTACAACTGGTCTCTTGAACTCCAGAGCTCCTCCAAGCTATGATGGTAGCCATCTCCTTGTTTGTAAGTCACACTGGCTATACATAAGGTGACCTGGAAGAGCTTGGGTGATCTCTCCCTCTTCTAGTTAGTCATTGACTGTAGTCATTGGTCCAGGAGACAGCTCATGCTGTTGAGGAAGCATCCTCATTGTCTAACGAATAACGAACTTCAAGCAGGGTTCCTCAGGCTTAATGGACTCCCTGCTCTCCTGAAAGTCAAGACACACCCCTGACTGGATATGCTGCCCTAAGGAGAATGTGGATGCAAGGTAGAGTACTATTTCCATCCTCTCTGATGGGAGGCATAAGGAGATATTTTACCCTCCAGCCCTCCAAACAAGAAAGGAGGCTAAGGAAGGCAGAGTCAATCAAGACCTGAGTTAACAAGGTAGAATGTATGAATTTAAAACTGATGAGTTTATCTTGGGAGGGGTTGAAACCCAGCTGGACAAGCAGAAGCAAGGTGAAGTATTTTGGCTTGTATTATTGTTTAGTAAACTTCTACTAAATGTTATGTGGTCTGTGAATGACTCATTTATATACCGTCTTGATCATCCTGAGACAGACCTGGTTTAGAAGAGCAGTTTTACATATTAGGAAACTGAGGTTGAGGAAATTAATCTTAGAGTTGGGAAGTGTGATAGGATAAGCATCTACCAAGATTTTTCCTTTTGCTATGTGGATTAGACTAGTTCTTTCCTTAAAAGGCAAGAAAGTTGTCCCTAAGATTTGATTGGCTCAGAGGTTGAAGGCCTAAGCCAACTAGCTGTTGACAAAGCTTTTCCTGGGTCCCTAGAGGCTTGGTGGGTGTCCCAAGGTTATATGAGTTTCTCTATTGACTACAGGAGTTTCCATATAGAAAGGAGAGGGGGATGGTTGCAATCCTAATGTATTTTTGTTGAATATCCTTTCTATACTATGGCTAAGTAAATCTCCTGATGTGAACTGGTGAATGACCTATTATGTTTCCATTCCTTCCAAAATCTAGTTCAACTACCAGGGTACTAGCCTGAGTTGGGTCAGATCATCACAGAAGAGATCTCCGATTTCATCTTGTCCTGAACCTACTCATATCACAATCCTGCCTATATCTCCAACAAGTAAAAATAAAAGTGGCTGGCATTTATATAGAACTTTATAAATATCTCATTTTGTCCTAACAACTCTGGAAGATGGTGCTACTGTTTTCCCCAGTTGAGAAAACTGAGGCAAACAGAGGTCTCATAGCTAGGAAGTGGCTGACTTCAGGTCCTCCAGTCTATCCACTGAGCCATTCACCTTCCTTACTTAGCTTTTACTTGAAGACCTCCAGTGAAAATAAGACTCATTACCCCAAAGTAGCTTTTGGAAAAACTTATCATTAGGAAGCTTTTCCTTGCGGTGAGCTGAATTCTACCTCCCTATAAGTTCCACTCATTACCCTTACTTCTGCCTTTCAGATCCAAGCTAAAAAAAAAAATCTGTTTTGTCTTCCACATACATAGCTGTTGGCACTCAAGAAAATAATTGATCTGTGAAGCTTGGAGACAGCAGCTGTTGCCAGTAATCTCCTTAGGGCACCAGCCTCTCTCCCATTCTCAGGCTGCCTGGAGCCAAACTACTCCCCTTCTCCCTACCTGTCACCTCCGTTTAGGGCCTGTGTTTCCAAAACTGCTCTTACACTGCCAAGCTGGTGATGTTGTCTTGAGGGACGCCAAGAATTCTCCATGGGGCATAGCAGTGCACCTCTAAGGAGCCAGCTTACCTGAGTGGATTTCCTTGTGGGTCTGTGTTTGTGTTCTATGTGCCAGGTATCCGTGGGAAGAGTTCATCCAGAAAGCTCTACTGCAAATTTCTGGAAGTTGTAAGTCATAGCCTAATCTACAGTGTTTGGGCAATGGTGATATTATGTCTCTGACAAGCTCTCCTAAGCCATCACCTTTTCCCTAAGGTATGTATGGGGCAGAAGACATAAGACTCTGGAAGTCAGAGGTCATAGGACCTTCATAATAGTAATTCTTCAGATATTTCAAATCTATTGCTATTGTTCAAAGTACCATGTTATGTGCTGGGGATAAAAAACTAAGTATTTTTGCCCTGAAGAAGTTTGTGTCCTACTGTTATCGTAGCTGTCCCTAAATCTCCCTCAAGCTAGTCATTCCCAGTTCTTTCAACAGATTCTTTAAAACTCTAAACCATGTCCCCCCTTTGTTCTGAGCTTGGCACTCACAAATATGAACATATCCATATACAAAGAAGAATAGAAAAAGAGGATTGTACTGGAAACAATGAAGCTGTTATGTGCAGTTTTTTAAAGTATATAATACATTCAGTGCTTTAGCTCCTGAACTGTACTGCTTGTATGTTTCCCTCTGAACCTCCTTCTGTTCTGTTGGGCACTTTTAAAAAATGCTTCATTGATGCTTTAATCATTCTTTTTCTTTCTCCTGCCTCAGTATCAATTGATTCTTGTATGGCATGATTTCAAGTTCCTTTACTATGCTAGCCAGCTTCCTCTGGTGTCCCCTAGCTTGTGAATGCCCCTTCTAAAATGTGGGTCCCAGAACCAGACCCAGTTTCACAGATGTGGTCTGACCATGGCAGATTCCATTTACTTTAGCAAACAGGATTTAATTAAACACAGTTCACAGCTCTTGAATTGCTCAGACTTTCAAAATTATGGCTACTGATAGTGGCAGCCTGTCAGAGGGAACCTTATGTGGAGAGAACCTATGTATATTTTATTTTTCTCAAACTTTGAGTTTGGAGGGACATACTGGGAATAGACTCTGAAGGGAGACACAGTATAAAAAACAAGTTAACTAAAACATATTCTTCTATATTAAATAACAGAGAGACAGAATTGTGTAGTAGATGGAACTGGCACTGAGGTCAGGAAGCACTGGGCAAGTCCTGTATCTGACATATATTGGCTCTGTGACCTCGTATAAGTCACTCAACCTCTTAATGCCTTTTGGAACTCTCTAAAATGATGATGATGAGGAGGAAGAGGAGGAGGAAGAGGGGTTTATGGTGCCAGTGGTGGTGGTCTGTGTGTGTGTGTGTTTCTGTGAGCTGGAACCCTTTGGCAATCCGGTGAAGCTTATGGACCCCTTCTCAGAATAATATTTTAAATGTATAAAATAAAAGCCAGCTTCATGATTCCAGGTTAAGATCCCCCGTTTAAGACCATAAACTTCAGGGCAGGTGGCAATCTTCTTTGAAGAAATGTGTTTCTTCACTCATAGTCCTCCATAACAATGAAATAAGAGGTCCTGTTCCAACACAAAGGAATAAAAATTGTATACTCTACTCTGTTTTTCCTAGTACTCCTGAGGATTGTGATTTTGTTGGTGTGAGGAATTTCCAGTGTGTGAACACTGGATAGTAGGAGTTATATCACCTACCTTACAGTGTTGCCACATATATCCAATAAGAGAATGCATGAGTTTAGAAAGGAGCTCAATCAGTAAACATTTATTACGTGCCTACTCCATGCCA